CAAAGTTTGTGGTTTGGAGTGAGACATAAACAGCTCGTCCACGTTGTCGGACCGCGAGCGGGCCGCTGGCAGTTAACCACTGGCTATGTGCCGACTTCAGACTAATACCAGTGGTTGTAGAGTGTAATGTAACTTCACAATGTTATTTTACGACCTAACATTCCCACAGTTTATCTACAGCGTTGTGTATTTGCTGGGTTGAAACATACACGTTGGCGGACCGCGAGCTATGTGCCGATTTTAGCCACCAACGGACCGACGAAATTGTGTTATCTGAGGCGGACCCCTGGAAATGAGGAAAGTTTTGTGGTGAGAAACAAGAGAAGCAGAAGTTCACTATTTTGGGGGTAACCTTTAGAATAAAGGTCTTGGTCATAGTGCAGTGTTAAAAAGACACACCGAAACTGATTTGCATAACTGATGACCACAACATATTGAAAAATATCAAAACAGTAAAAATGATACAGTATAACCTCATAATCAATCGCCAGATGTCAATATACAAAACAGAATAATACATCAAGATGACAGTTTTCATGTAAAGATTAAGTATTTCTAAGCAAATTAAAGATACATATATCTAGATATTGTGCATATCTTTAAGTTGCTTAGAAATACTTAATCTTTACATGGAAACTGCCATCTTGATGAATTATAATGTATTCTATATTGACAGCTTGTGATTAAATGTTACCAGATGGCTCCAGCTGGTGTAGCAGACGACACACTTTCCAACAATGGGGAAAAGGGTAAAAATATGAGTAGGCTGGTTATCATCGAGCAGACGGCTCACCAGTCTAAGATGTATTGAAAATACACACACTTAATTCTCAACCTTATCTAATGTTAATTCAACAATTTATCATATACTTAGCAGTGGGATATTCTGTTAATAATCTCTCATAATTCTATTGAATGGTTCTGTACATTCTATCAATGTTTATTTGTACAAAGCTGTTTTATGTATGTACAGAAGTGAGACATTAATATATTATTGTCTGTCTGTCTACAATGTATACCTTACAATTTAACCGATTACACACGCATGGCAAGTATTTATATAAACGACCGAAAAGGGGGGGGGGGGGGGGTATTCGGGGGGAGATTTTATTTCGTAGGAGGGGGGAGAGTTTATTTCGAGAGGGGCGGAACTGTACCGGTATAAATTCGCCGGGGGGGGGAGATTTTATTCTGGGGGCGAATATATTTCGTGACAGTGTCCCGGCACACAATGACAAGTGAGGATGCCGCGCTACACTATAATGAAAATTATAATCATGTTGACTAGCGTGTACATTACTACAGTGAACATGTACATGATCATGCCCTCATAATCAAATGTCGTAATATCAAATACTACTATATTATTATGTGATGAATTTGACTGGATCAGTGGTAACATCCGATATTAATATTCCATCAATTTCTTTCCTGGTTGGTCTATCCATGTCTACAAAATGAAAATAATGCAATTAAAAAGGAGCACAGAACAATTCTTAATTTCAGACTAGAGCTGTGGAAATCTAGACTTTCCAAATCATTATAGACTTGAGTTGGTCTCATTTTTTTACATTATTCTCTTGGGTCTACGTCACAGCTCATGCCACACAATAACAAGACCAGTTAGTCCTCCGCCGGAGCGCCTGGATTTTGGTTATATCATCTAACATGGTCAACTCTGCTCTTAAGTAAACAAGAACCTAATTAGCGAGTGGTCCTTTATGATCATACTGGGTCTTTGTCCTTTGCTTGAACAATAATGTAACTTAACTTCTTTTAATGAGTCGTTTATTTGTAGATAATTTCGTACACAGATAATTCATCCTGTAGACGGATTCCCCAGAGGCTATATTGCATCATACAGAATACTCATGGATGTGTATGCCACTGTACCAAATTAATTATGATCATATTCTATATTATTATCCCATTCAGACCCTACATTTTAACAAGAACACACATAGATATAGTTCAGAAACACTAGACTGAAATTAATCCAATATGATTCCAAAATTATTAGATATATTTATGATTAATTTCATTGTGTAATAAGAAAACAATTGTCAAATAAATGGATTTTCATGTGAATAAAATCCAGAGGCCAAATATCGGAACCAATGACAGACCCTATCATTAAACACGATTGTTAAGGATACTGGGCGTTCAATAATTCCGCTAAACCACCATTTCACAATGGGAAAATACGGGACATAATCGGCGATATTTACTTTATCAAATGAAGATCGTATTATGTATACGATTTCGTGTTAACAGTGAGCTGACACGAAATATTAACGCACGTATCACTGTCGAAAATTTAGTGTGTGTCATTGTTTACATTTCACTGATTTGAAGAACACTTTCGAGTCTCGAAACAGCTTAAATAATGTTTTCCTTCACTAAAAGTAACAACGGACGTTATTCTCGTGACATATACTTGCAAGAGCATTCATGAAAATGCTAAGAAAAAATATTTAACAACCCGTTCTAGCGTTTTTCTATAGTATATACATGGCGTGTCCGCCATGTTTGTTCGTCTAGTGGAGATGGCCATTGTGCAGTCATTGCCTGGGTCAGTGTAGCGCCAGCGCAGCATACCCGGGGAACCAGGCTGCTTCAATTACCCAATTGATTTGATTAGAATATACTTGCGTCAGTGTATTTTATTAACGCCCCAAACCGTAATTTAAACACATTTAATAACAGATCATATACACGCATGGTGCCTTCACTTACTACTAGCTTTAATAGGCCATCCCGGAATAAAATAGTTCCCCAAAAGCGAGGAACATCCCTTTTAGTCTGTTTATAAGAAATGTATTCCAAACAATATCCTCAGTAGATGAGAAGATCTGTTAAAGAAGTGCCTCAGTAAGTCAATCACAATGACAGAGCGTCGTAATACATTAACATCAAGTACAATACGTCAAAATGGCCGACACGATAAACGTGACGGGAGATATTTCCGAAGTTGTTAATAAACCTGTGGTTATTTCAAGCTTTTGTCATCACTGATCAATTGGCCAATCATTGAAAGGTGATTGTAAAGATGTGTCAAATAGATACTAAGGTAAACTCATAGATTGCTGTAGATTGTCACTACGATAGTTTGGATGTTTTGTTTTTTTTCGTTTTTATTTCTCTAGGATGGGTTGTAGCGAGGTATCCTTAAGCGGGCTATGCAACCAAACTCTCTGACTTATCCCAGACTAAGCTAAGACGCTAAGTTCAAAATTAAAGGGTCTAAATGACGAGAAACAACGCTTCTGTTTGAATTCGTACATGTACCAGGGAATTCTCAGGGTTTTCCCCAGGAATGTGGAAGTGGTCAGTGTTTATGTCATTTCAGGAATACAGTCACGTGAAAAACGTCATGTGACCGACCTCTCCTCCAATGGAAAAGCCGTATATCTTGTAAACTTCACATAAAAAAATAGTTACTGTGATAACCAAATGAAACACAACCCATTATCCGACAGAGGTAACTGTGCATAGCGGAGGGATATGTTATTACAATAAACTTGGTAACATGGTTTGATTTGACTTCTTGGCGCGTGTCTGAATTCCTTTTACATGTTACATATCCTAAAACTGGCTTATCAGCTAATCTCGCTGCACTACGCGCGACGGATACTAGAGCAAGGCATGCCAGAAATACGAAACCTTATGCTTACCGAAAGGATGCCTTAGGCATCACGTGCGTCGGGGGACCAGCGCCATCTCATTGGCTGTTAACAGTTGTACAAGGCGGGGCACAAAGCATCGTTTTTCCGTCCATTTTACGCTTGAAAAACTCGACCCTTTTCCGGACACTTTCTAGACGCTCACCAATTAATCAATTTTAATGAATTTTTAGTCGTTTTCCGTCCAATGACCATATACGGGAATAAACGACGTTTTCGTGTTTGCAGTGGTATTTGGTTTGGTTGGTTTGTTGTTTAACGCCGCCCTCAGCAATATTCCAGCTATATGACGGCGGTCTGTAAATAATCGAATCTGGACCAGACAATCCAATGATTAATATCATGAGCATCGAATCACGCAATTGGGATCGATGACATGCATCAACCAAGTCGGCGAGCCTGACCACCCGATCCCGTTAGTCGCCCCTTACGACAAGCATGGGTTGCTGAAGACCTATTCTACCCCGGATCTTCACGGGCCATCAGTGTACTGATCACAGCCACCAGGTGCTTCCGTTTCATAACACATGACACAATCGGAGTGAGTGAGTGTGTTTGGTTTAACGCCGCTTTTAACAATATTCCAGTTATATCACAACGTGTCAGCTTAATGTGGGAGGAAAGCCCGAAATGATGCAGGTCTTAGACGTTTACCACTTCGGTGAAACCCAAGAGCACGAGTATGGTGCTGACATAACTAGAAACATAATCGGGGCGAACCGGGATTCGAACCCACAATCATAGGTTTCTGGCGTGCCCAAGGGACGCAACTCTGCACAGCGAATCGCGGCGCCTTTGACGACTGGGCCACCAGTGCCCCCGATTATGGAAAAGGTTTTGTCGCTTTTATGTACACAATCAATGTAAATTATTTATGCGCCCATGGCGATGGCATATTTAAAATAACACATTTGAGAGGAAACAGTTTAAAATGTCAGCGGACAATGAGATTGTTTCGAACAAATCAATTGTTGATGTTTTATAACGGTGATTGCCAATCTATGAAGATAAATATTAAATGTACCAATAGATTATTGTCGGTGGCGTTAGCTGAATTGTAAAGGATTGTTGGAATAAATGAACCCAATTATATCTGCCTGGTGACAATTGTTGTGGATTCGCCAGTATCTTCAATTACAATACGAATGTTTTTCATCTGACATCATGCTTCGATATGTCATTGGATCCGATCATTATTCAGGCTTCCTTTGTCCCTTCTAACATATCAATGCCTGAGTAGAAAGTTTAGGAGGTGAATTATGGAACCGCCGAGACTCGCATGATCAGTTGGTTGGAAAACATACTGTCCGAGGGATTCTTTCAGAATGGTATGGTTATGTAATTGTAGGACATTAAGCACCAACGTGAATGTGCCATGGCTGGTGTTTCTGGTTACAATTCAGCTGATGCTGGGTGAGTGTTTAGACTTATTTCATTTACTCATTCGTACCAATCTCATTATTTATAGCTGCAAGATTTCTGATGCGGCGTTAAGCAATAATCACTCACTCTCTCATTATGTTGTAATTACTGTTTCCGAATACGGATGTATTTGCCTCTCTTCTCCAAAATAAGCTGTATGAAATAACTATTTAATGAATTTATAACTATTTCATAAATTAAATATTTTCAGTTGATAAGGCTTGTATACAAGATCAAGTGAGTATGGTTTTACGCCGCTTTTAGCAATATTCAAGCAATATATCGGCAGGGACACCAGAAATGGTTGGTTGGTTTGTTGTTTTACGCCGCACTCAGCAATATTCCAGCTATATGACGGCGGTCTGTAAATAATCGAGTCTGGACCAGACAATCCAGTGATAGACATCATGAGCATCGATCCACGCAATTGGGATCGATGACATGCATCAACCAAGTCAGAGAGCCTGACCACCCGATCCAGTTAGATGCCTTTTACGGCAAGCATGGGTTGCTGAAGACCTATTCTACCCCGGATCTTCACGCCCGGGGGTACCCATGTGGGGAATCCAACCCGGGTCTTCGGCGTAACGAGTGAACGCCTTCACCACTTGGCTATCCCACCCTACCCAAGATAAGTTATATGTAATAGTTTGTTTGTTTGTTGTTTAACGCCGCACTCAGTAATATTCCAGCTATATGACGGCGGTCTTTAAATAATCGAGTCTAGACCAGACAATCCAGTGATTAATTTCATGAGCATCGATCCACGCAATTGGGATCGATGACATGCATCAACCAAGTCAGCGAACCTGACCACCCGATCCCGTTAGTCGCCTCTTACGACAAGCATAGTCGCTTTTTACGGCAAGCATGGGTTGCTTAAGACCTATTCTACCCCGAATCTTCACGGGTCTCAATATCTTTAAAGCTGAATTTGTCATTTGTGGTCCCAGCATTATCGTAAATGCGTTCAGGTCATCAACGTGAAGATCAGGACATCAGCCACCAAGTGCGTGCATTTTATGTAACTTATCCGTGCATTTCATGCATGCAGTGGTGTCAGCTGATTATGATCATATAATGTGTATCATACTGATAACTCAACAGCCGATGCTGCAGCTAAAGCAGCTCTTGACAAACCGTTATCTCCAATCCTTATCCCGTACAGTAATTTCAAACCAGCCATCAAGAGTTATACTCGGGATCTCAGGCAAAACAGGTGGGACAACCAGGTAGTAAGCAATAGACTTCACGAATTAAAACCAACAATCGGTCATACCAAGTGGGGTTGTCAGTCAAGACATGACGATGTCGTTTTACGACGATGTCGTATTGGCAACAGTCGGTTTACCCACGAATATCTGCTTAAGACAGATGAGGACGAACCTCCTAAGTGTATCCCTTGTGATAAAAGGTTCACCGTCAAGCATATATTGCTTGACTGTGTGGACTTTGCAATCGCAGGAGGATTCACATTATCAACGCGTAAATCTGAATGGTCTCTTTTCCCGTGTCAGCGGGCATCTCATTATCAACTGCTGGAAAGAAATTGATCTGTATAATAAATTTTTAATTTATATGTGAATAATTTAATGCTTATTTTTTAATAAGGTGTGATGCAATGATCAACTGACATTATTGAAGGCTCTGTCCAGGGGGTTAAAGTATCGTAAATGTATTGTCCCCCCTATGTGACACGTAATCGATGAAACTATCATCAACCAGTGTTTTTTAGCCAACTCATTGCTATTATTAAATATTGACCAGTACAACACAACTACCAGTAGCTTGTAGCTAAAGTCATGCAGGAAGCCGAGGTACTGTAAGTCCCCATGATCCCCAGCGAAGTGGCCTAACTTTGGTAACTGGTGACCCATAACCTATTTTAAAAGTGTATACATGATACTGTAATGCTCGAATATGTTTCATAAGTTGTTATCAATATAACTTTGCGTAGACCCGCGAAGATCCGGGGTAGAATAGGTCTCCTGCATCCCATGCTTGCCGTATTAAGGCGACTTTGCTTGTCGTAAAAGGCGACTAACGGGATCGGGTGGTCAGGCTCGCTGACTTGGTTGAAGCATGTCATTGACCCCATTTGCGTGAACGATACACATGATATCAATCACTGGATTGTCTGGTCCAGACTCGATTATTTACAGACCGCCGTCATATAGCTGGAATATTGCTGAGTGCGGCGTTAAACTACAAACCAACCAACCCACCAAATATAACTTTGCATAAATGACTCAATTGTGAATATATTAACTTGGTCTCGTCGCTGTATGGCTGAAATAATGTCGATGCAACTACTTCTACAGGTGACGTCACCACAACTACTACTCAAGCTGACACCACCACAACTGCTTCTCCAGCTGACGTCACCACAACTACTACCCAAGCTGACGTCACCACAACTACTACCCAAGCTGACGTCACCACAACTACTACTCCAACTGACACAACTACTACTCCAGCTGACGTCAGCACTACTACTACTCCAACTGACACCACCACAACTACTACTCCAACTGACACAACAACTACTGCTCCAGCTGACGTTACCACAACTACTACTCCAACTGACACCACCACAACTACTACTCCAACTGACACCACCACAACTACTACTCCAACTGACACAACAACTACTGCTCCGGCTGACACCACCACAACTACTACTCCAGCTGACACCACCACAACTACTACTCCAACTGACACAACAACTACTGCTCCAACTGACACCACCACAACTACTACTCCAACTGACACAACAACTACTGCTCCAGCTGACGTCACCACTACTACTACTCCAACTGACACCACCACAACTACTACTCCAACTGACACAACAACTACTGCTCCAGCTGACGTCACCACTACTACTACTCCAACTGACACCACCACAACTACTACTCCAACTGACACCACCACAACTACTACTCCAACTGACACAACAACTACTGCTCCAGCTGACACCACCACAACTACTACTCCAACTGACACCACCACAACTACTACTCCAACTGACACAACAACTACTGCTCCAGCTGACGTCACCACAACTACTACTCCAACTAACACCACCACAACTACTACTCGTACTGACACCACCACAACTACTTCTCCAACTGACACGAACACAACTACTACTCCAACTGACGTCACCACAACTACTACTCCAACTGACACAACAACTACTACTCCAGCTGACACCACCACAACTACTACTCCAACTGACGTCACCACAACTACTTCTCCAACTGACACCAACACAACTACTACTCCAGCTGACGTCACCACAACTACTACTCCAGCTGACGTCACCACAACTACTACCCAAGCTGACGTCACCACAACTACTACTCCAACTGACACAACTACTACTCCAGCTGACGTCAGCACTACTACTACTCCAACTGACACCACCACAACTACTACTCCAACTGACACAACAACTACTGCTCCAGCTGACACCACCACAACTACTACTCCAGCTGACGTCACCACAACTACTACTCCAGCTGACACCACCACAACTACTTCTCCAGCTGACACCACCACAACTACTTTTCCAGCTGACACCACCACAACTACTACTTCAACTGACGTCACCACAACTACTTCTCCAGCTGACACCACCACAACTACTTCTCCAGCTGACACCACCACAACTACTACTGCAGCTGACACCACCACAACTACTTCTCCAGCTGACACTGACACAACTGCTTCTCCAGCTGACACCATCACAACTACTACACCAGCTGACACCACCATAACTACAACTCCAACTGACACCACCACAACTACTACGCCAGCTGACACCACCACAACTACTACTTCAGCTAAAACCACCACAACAACTACTGCAGCTGACACTACCACAACTACTACTTCAGCTAACACCACCACAACTACTACTTCAACTGACGTCACCACAGCTACTTCTCCAGCTGACGCCAACACAACTACTTCTCCAACTGACACCACCACAACTACTACTTCAGTTGACACCACCACAACTACTACTTCAGTTGACACCACCACAACTACTTCTCCAGCAGACACCATCGCAACTACTTCTCCAGCTGACACCACAACTACTACATCAGCTGACACCACAACAACTACTACTGCAGCTGACACCACCACAACTACTTCTCCAGCTGACACCACAACTACTACACCAGCTGACACCACTACTCCTGCAGCTGACACAACCACAACTACTCCTCCAGCTGACACAACTACTACTGCAGCTGACATCACCACAACTACTTCTCCGGCTGACACCACCACAACTACTACTGCAGCTGACACCACCACAACTACTACTGCAGGTAACACCACCACAACTACTACTCCAGCTGACACCACAACAACTACTACTGCAGCTGACACCACCACAACTACTACTCCGGCTGACACCACCACAATTTCTACTGCAGCTGACACCACTACAACTACTACTGCAGGTCACACCACCACAACTACTACTGCAGGTGACACCACCACAACAGCGTACACAACGTCAACATCAGAACGACATGTATTCAGGAAATGTGTCTGTAGAAGCCAAAATCAAACTGATGCACCAAGCGAACTGGACAAAGTGACTGAGAAGGCCAATGAAATAAAGAAGAACTTAACTGTTGACGTGAAGTATTTAACCAACACGATTCTAAAGAAAAAAAGCCGAGACGACAAACGATCGTCTCCCGTCGTTATTGGGTGGGTGTATCTTGTCGTTGTAGCTGTACCTTTTATGTTGGCTGTTTTGAGTGACGCTGGCCTGGTCGTTAAATGGCTGTTTAAAACTAAAGTAAAACCCACGTGTGCAAAGGACAGAAAAAGTTAAAATTACTGCATAACCGGACTGACAATGTGCTATGTTTATGGCCCAGAGAATACTTTCTGATTGTATCCCTGTGATTGACGAGTTAATGACCTCATTTAATCCCTGTTACATGCGTGTACATAGATATAAGATCGTATTATAAATCAACTTTCTCAAAGTGTAATCGTGATTGTAATGTTTGGGATATTCAGTGATATTCATGCAAATCAAATTACCAATGCTAGAAATACAATCGAACCATTATTACTTAGAGTGTATGTTGTTTGTCATTGCCTTTGTTGTAAATGTTTGACTTCATTGCTCAGGATTGCCCACGGGTAGCCCAGTCGTCTAAGGCGCCGCAATTCGCTGTGCAGAGTTGCGCCCCTTGGGCACGCCAGAAACCTATGATTGTGGGTTCGAATCCCGGTTCGCCCCGATTATGTTTCTAGGTTTGTCAGCACCATACCCGTGCTCTTGGGTTTCACCGAAGTAGTAAACGTCTGAGACCTGCATCACTTCGGGCTTTCCTCCCACATTAATCTGACACGCCGTGATATAACTGGAATATTGTTAAAAGCGGCGTTAAACCAAACTCACTAACTCACTCATTGCTCACAGTGTCTGTTGTTTGTCAGTGCAACTGTTGTAAATGTTTGACTTCATTGCTCACAGTGTGTGTTGCTTGTCAGTGCGACTGTTGTAAATGTTTGACTTCATTGCTCACAGTGTCTGTTGTTTGTCAGTGCCTTTGTTGTAAATGTTTGACGTTATTGCTCATAGTTTCTGTTGTTTGTCAGTACATCTGTTGTAAATGCTTGACTTAATTGCTCACAGTGTCTGTTGCTTGTCAGTGCGACTGTTGTAAATGTTTGACTTCATTGCTCACAGTGTCTGTTGCTTGTCAGTGCCCTAGTTGTAAACGTTAGACTTCATTGTTCACCGTGTCTGTTTGTCAGTGCGACTTTTGTAAATGTTTGACTTCATTGCTCACAGTCTATGTTGTTTTTCAGTACATCTGTTGTAAATGTTTGACTTCATTGTTCACAGTCTATGTTGTTTTTCAGTACATCTGTTGTAAATGTTTGACTTCATTGCTCACAGTATCTGTTGTTTTTCAGTACATCTGTTGTAAATGTTTCACTTCATTGTTCACAGTGTCTGTTTGTCAGTGCCCTAATTGAAGTGCCCTAAAGAGCTAATTAGTAAGTAAGTACACAGCCTATAACGTATAAGAAATGACATAAAGTGTTACACAACTTAAATGCTTGTAATGCTTAAGATTCATCTTCATTTTACTCTTTAATTCTGCAGATTCGTGTTCGAAATACAAGAACACATAGGCATACACAACTATTGACTACTGCATGTATATTCTAACAGATTGATCATTGGTCCCAGTGGACGATCGCTTTTCGGTGAAATCCACAGGACAGTTTTTTCGGGAACAGATCATTTTTCACAAATTAAAGCCTCTTTTTGAATCCCCAAGCCAACCCCATCACAGTCTATACATATGTGGACCGCCTCCGTGGTCTGGTTAGCGGAAGATCCGGGGTTTCATCCCCGCCCCAGTCATACCAAAAGACGTTAAAAGATGGTACTTGTTGTAACCATGTCTGGCGCTCGGGATTCAGGAGCTAAAACAAGGACTGATCGGCTTGAAGTCAGTATACTGTGTCTGAGTGGGGTATTCATGTTAAACTGCGGCATGGTATCTTCGTGGGCTGGCACGATAAATCGGCATCAGTCCGGACTAGTACAAGTAGACACACACACACACGCACGCGCGCGCGCGGACGCACATACACACACACTGGTCCCGTTAGTCATCTCTTACGACAAGCATAATCGCCTTTTACTGCAAGCATGGGTTGCTGAAGACCTATTCTACCGCGGATCTTCACGGGTCATAAAGATTTGAGTGAGTTGAACGCCACTTTGAACAGTATTTCGGTTACACCACGGCGAGTAAGATTGATGTTGGGGGAAGGCCCGAAGTGATGCAGGTCTTAGACGTTTACCACTTTCGAGAAGCCCACGAGTACGGTATGTAACAAACCAAGAAGTACAATCAGGGTGAACAGGGAGGCAACTCTGCACAGCGAATTCCAGCACCTTCGACAACTGGGCCATCAGTGTCCCAAAGACCTGGAAAACCATGCCTGGTGCCACGGTCGGTTTGGTTTGTTGCTTTACGCCGCACTCAGCAATATTCCAGCTCAATAATCGAGTCTGGACCAGACAGTCCAGTGATTAATATCATGAGCATCGATCCACGCAATTGGGATACGATGACATGGATCAACCAAGTCAGCGAGCCTGACCACCCGATCCCGTTAGTCGCCTTTTACGACAAGCATAGTCACCTTTTACGGCAAGCATGGGTTGCTGAAGACCTATTCTACCCCGGATCTTCACGGGTCTCGCAATCCCTATTGAGAAATACGTGCAACATATCCCAAGTCCTTTGCCTAGACAGCCACATTAAAAACAAGTTGCTTATGCGACTTCATATTATTTCGAAAGAGGTTCTATACAATTAGATTCAAAGCAAACTATCTTCTTCCTGGAATCGTTAAATGCTTCGGTCGAAGGAACATTATCAGTGAAGTATATTAATCATGTTTTGATTTGCAAACATTGTGCAGGCTACTATGTCCTATGCATGTTGTGAACAATAGTCATCTTGACTGCTTATACCGTGCCCCTTATCATCTAACGAATTTCATCATCTTCCAATAGCTGTTTAACCAGCGTGACAACATAATGCAATTGTTATTTGTGGTAAGTAATTAATATTTTAAACTCCATTTATCATGGCTGAATTATAATATATATCTTTTACTCCACTGCCGTTCCATCCAATTTAACGAGGAGAATAATGTGTCAGATGTGACTTGACGTCTTTCAAGACGTTATAGTCAAACAAAATTGTGAATAATTAACCAAATCTCATTCTCTGGGAACTACGACTTCTATTGTCACTGAAATTAAATTCATCAAGAAAAAAACATGCATACTTCCCGTTGCAACTCCAATTAAAATGAAACTAATCAAGAAAATCGTCTGCATATGTGCTCAACAATTTGTATGTGAGAATATTCTAGCCACCTACAAAATGACGTATACGACTGACCATAGACGGATTTAGTAAAGCTTTCAAAAAGATCTATGGTAGACATTTCGACTGACAATTTGACGCATCAATGAGCAAAATGATGTCCCAAGCAACTCCTTATTTTGAACCTTTAGGTTCCCATGTATTTTAATATGAACAATTGATTTGGCTTTGCATGTGTTTGTGACAGGGCAGGACACACTCACATTTCGCGAACATTTGCTATCATCACCATTTGATAGTGATACATAAATACGTGGTAAATAATGAGTAAAGGTTTATTTAGGTTTAACTCGGTAAGCACAACGCAGCCGATCCGCTGCTCAGGTCACGTGCTCCCGCTACCGCTACCGCGAGGTCACCGCGCCTCACCCGTGACACTCAGTCTTCCCCCTGCAGGCGAGTAAATAAGACTCCTACCCTCCCTCCCAGGGCTTGTTAGTTTTTAATTGTTGTTTTAAAATGTTGTACATTTTAGTTAGGAAGGTATTTCTTCATTGTTTTAACACATAAATAATTTATTGTCAATTACATATTGACCTATTCCTCAACGCGGTTGTTTGTCTGTTCTTGATAAGAGTTAAATGCTTTTAAGGGCTTTTAGTAGATTATGGATAGGTTTTTTTTGCCAATTTTATTCACATATACTATATTTCACAAGTTGGAACTGGTCTAAATTGATCAATCGTTTTGACAGTTATCATTTGGATCGGTTGGATTGTTGTTTTACGCCGCACTCAGCAATATTCATGCTATATGACGGCGGTCTGTAAATAATCGAGTCTGGACCAGACAATCCAGCGATTAATATCATGAGCATCGATCCTTGCAGTTGACGTAATATCAGGTAAAACCAAGTCAGCGTCAACCAAGTCAGCGAACCTGACAAACCGATCCAATTAGTCGCCTTTTACGACAAGCATAGTCGCCTTTTACGGCAAGCATGGGGTGTTGAAGACCTATTCTACCCCGGATCTTCACGCAGATTTTAACGTAACTATTGAACATGTTAGTATTTGCTTATTTTAATTGTTGTGATAGGACATCCACACACGAGGAACTGCTGAAAAACTATTACAGCCGAAAACTATAATGTAGCCTTTAACCATACACCTTTGATTACCTTCATCCTGAGTGAGTGAGTATGGTTTTACTCCGCTTTTAGCCATATTCCTGCAATATCGCGGCGGGGGACACCAGAAATGGGCTTCACACATTGTACCCATGTCGGGAATCGAACCTTTATCCTGACTGACTTATGCTAGCTAGCTATGTTGAGTTTCATCGACTTTCCTCAATACTTTCATCAGGAAGCCAGCCTAAAAATAGCTGAGTAATTAATATTTTCTTTTCAAAATACAAAATTGGTTGTAAATAAAAGTAATAAAACATAGGTTGCTGGGGTCATATGTTCTGATCTGGATTTCCCATGGGTTTCCGGACGCTCTACTGTTCTGTGAATAGTCAAATGGGGTTTGACGACGTGTTCAAGATCATTGCACTTATATAGCGACGTGTGTGTGTGTGTGTGTGTTTTGCGTGTTTGCGTGCACATGCGTGTGTGTGTGCGTGTGCGTGCACATGCGTGTGTGTGTGCGTGTGCGTGCGGCTGCATACACCTGCCCGGACTTATGCCGGTCTTCTAGTGCTGCGTGCCGGTCTTCTAGTGCTGAGTGCCGGTCTTCTAGTGCTGAGTGCCGGTCTTCTAGTGCTGAGTGCCGGTTTTCCCACTGAGATACCATTCCGCAGTTTAACATGGATACACGATTCAGACACAGAATACTGACTCCCAGCCGTCCGATTACTGCCGAGTACCTCCCTACAACGTCTATTACACCAGAGCTCGGAGACGGCCTCAAAGTATAATCATGAGGAATACAGAAAATAGGCTTGACATTTGATTTCCATTGATACCATACACATCCTTAACAAATCTAACGCACATCTAATTAGTATGCTTTTGAGTTCGTATAACGGTAGGGGACATTAACTTTGTCTTCATCAGGTTTTCTTTTATCATTATAGGCCCGTATTTGGTATTGAATATAAATTGTCAATGCAAG